AGACTGGCCCATTCAGAAACAGGGTGGAAACTGGGAGTTGCCCTCAAGTCCCGGGCCACCACTTTGGAGCCAGCATTTTCGGTCTCGGAAATGAGACCCAGAGCGCCTCGCGCGAGCAGCCCCAACTTCTCCGCAGGCGACATGCGGCAGCGCCCGGGTGACGGAAGCACCCGGACCCCTGGACTTCAGCAGACGCAGCATGAGGGCCGAGCCGCCGCAACGCGCGTGTGCAACTCTGTCCTGGCCTCGTGGCATCTCCACCAATCGGAATCCTGCTTTTTGCCTGGCCCCGCCTTATTCCCAGACTTCCGGTGTCTTGCGGGCTACAAAACCACCTTAAAAGTGGAGGACTCGGCGACTTCCAGAGACTTCTGGGTATTGTAGTCTCAAAGGTGCAGAGCAACAGGTGGCGCACGTTTTAGTAAAAAGAAGCTTGGAATACAAACGCCTACACCAGTGATGACTTGGCGGGTTGGAAACGCTTGTTAGATTCTTTCACCTGCTAGTATTTGTGGGAAAAGCAGGAAGGGAGGAGAAGGAAGGTGGCCGCAGAGGCTTCTGGGAGTTCAAGTTCAGCCGACGGAGCAAGGGCTGGGAGCTGCGACCCCCGCCCCGGATCCGGAAGTGGTCGCCGAGGCCTCCTAGCAGCCAATGTGAATGCGGGAAGTCCCCGATCCAGGCGTCCCGCTCTCCCCGGCCCCGCTCTCCAGGTCCTACCACGATGACTGACTCGTTTGCGGCTTTGGGACCGGTTGTAGGGGGCTTGACCGTCACTAGTAGACGTTTCTGATTGTGTCGCGGTCACCATGGTAACGACTTTCGCTTCCCTTCCGCCCTCTATGGTGACGTCATTGGAGGAGGCCGGGCTGGGGTGGCTGGAGGACAGGGAGTGCGCATGCGCCTGGGGCGAGGAGGCGGGAGGAGGGGAGATCCGTGGGAGGACCGAGCTCAGAGGTGGGGTTGGAGGAGTTCCCTTGACCTTCAGGGTTGTTAGTGCGGAGGGGCAGCTTTATTTAAATAACAATATGCGTGCAGGCGACCTGCCTGATTTCTGGCGGCGTGCTTTCTAGTAAGTGCGCCGAGACTTTTTGCAAGAATTGGTTGACTTTTTTCCCCTCCCTTCCCGGTTTTTGGTTGGAAACCCAGACTTTGTTTCACGCCTGTCGCCAGGTTAACTAGGTCACTGTTTGCTCTCAGGAGCAACCCTTCCTCCCGCAGTTCGCTTGGTCCTTGATTACAGGTTCGTGCTGTGCATTCATTCATTCAGTGAGTGCCGAATAAGTGCTAGTGGCCAAGGATACAGCGGCGAGCTCCGCAGCTGAATGGCTTCAGACCTTAGGAGTCCCTCAGTACCAGGGTTATTAACATTGGGGGCTGACATTGCTTTGTTGTTGGGGGCTGGCTGTCCTGTGCGTTGTAGGATGTCGAGGATCTTCCCTGACCTCCACCCACTGGATGCCAGGAAAAATCCTCTCCAGCCTCCAGCTCCCTCGTTGTGACAACCAAAAGTGGCTCCAGATATTGCCGAATGTCCTCTGGGGGCTGAAGTCAGCCTACTGAGAACTACGGCCCTAAAGGTTTTCCTGAACACCCTTCTATACCTTCTGATAACTTGGTCACCCAGTAAACTCTCACCAGCTTGTTGAAATCTCATATGGATGTCTGGACATGATCTGACACATTAATTTCATTTTAAATCAAATTTAAAAGCATTCCCACCATCAAAGGGAAGGGATGATTAAATGTACAAAGGCCATTAATGGTATGCAGGAGAAGTTACAAAAAACTAACATCAAGCACCTGGGCATATAATAATCTGGTTAGCATATAAAACCTTCTAATGATAAATGAATTTATAAAGCTAGTTTAAAAATTAGTTACTACTGGGTTCCACCAAAATAAAATACATTATTTTTGCCGAAGTTATCTATGGAGGGATTGGCATTCTCTTCTGATATGGTTTGGCTGTGTCCCCACCCAAATCTTATCTTGAATTCCCACATATGGGAGGGACCCGTGGGAGGTAATTGAATCATGGGGGCAGGTCTTTCCCATGCTGTTCTTGTGATAGTGAGTAAGTCTCACGAGATCTGATGGTTTTTTATAAAGGGGAGGTTCACTGCACAAGCTCTCTTCTCTTGTCTGCCGCCATGTGAGACGTGCCTTTGACCTTCTGCCATGATTGTGAGGCCTCCCCAGCCACGTGAAACTGTAAGTCCATTAAACCTTTCTTTTGTAAATTGCCCAGTCTTGGGTATGTTTTATCAGCAGTATGAAAACAGACTAATACATCTTACATCTGTCTGTCATCAACTTACTGGGTGGTTTCCGTGGCTTTTAGCAGTTTATTACATTTTAAAGGATCGTTTGCACATGAATTGCCATAAGAAAAGACAAGAGCTTCCTATGAGCTGCTATGCAAACACAGCCATATCAACTCAGTCAGAATGTTACAAATAAAAGATCATAATCATAGCAGCAGCGTGTAGTAACACTAACTGGTGCTAGCAGGCATGGTGTGGTGACAATGCCTGAGCTATGGTTGCAGGATTTCTGTGGAAACACTGTCTTTAATTCCCACAGTGACCATATGAAATAGGTACAGTGCGTATCCCCATTTAACAGAGGAGGACATGGAGACACAAGTAAAATAAGTGCAGCTGAAGGGTGAAATATTTTTTATTTTACATTTTTAATTTTGAGATAATTTTGTGTTTACAGAAAAGTTGCAATGATATAGTACAGAGCGTTCTCATGTATCCCTTCCCCGCTTCCTCTACTGTTAACATCTTGTGTAATCCTAGTAGATGTGTCAAAACTGTAACATTGTTGCAGTACTGTTAACTCCAGACTTTGTTCACATTTCCCCAGTATTTCCTCTAAAGTCCTCTTCCTGTTCTAGGGTCACATGTGGGACACCACATGACGTTTAGTTGCCATGTCTTCCTGCCCTCCTCTGATCCGTAGCAGTCTCTGACTCTCCTTGTTTCTGATGACCTTGACAGTTTTGAGGAGTACCGACTAGGTGTTCTGTAAAATGTGTCTCCATTTGGAATTGTCTCATGCTTGCTCATGACTAGACTTGGGTTATGGGGAAGGGAAGGACTGACTTAAAAATTTTTTTTTAATTTTAATTAAAAATTTTAAATTGATACTTGGTTCAATTATTAGACAATCTTTAACCCATGTTTGGAAAAACCTAGATATGTGAATCTCCTTTTTAACTATAAATGTTAGAAAATGTAATTGCAGATCAATTTTAGCATTCAAATTGAGATGTGCCACAAGTGAAAAATACACAATGGATTTCAAAGACTTAATACAAAAAGGAGGATATAACAGATCTCATTAACAATTATTTATATTGATTACTTGTTGTAATGTATCTTGGGTATATTGAATTAAATCGTACATATTGTTCAAATTGATTTTACTGGTTTCTGGGCTAGCAGGAAGTGTGAATTAAATGTGGCTCACAGATGTTTATTGGATAACACTACCCTAAATAGTAGCAATACATTAATTGAGAAATATGTGCCAGGCAGTGTGTTTGAGAAATATTATCTCATTTAGAACACGTGGACACAGAGGGGGAACAATGCACACTGGGGCCTGTCAGGGTGTGGGGTTGTGGGGAGGGGGAGCATTGGGAAAAATAGCTAATGCATGCTGGGCTGAATACCTACGTGATGGGTAGATAGGGGCAGCAAACCACCATGGCACGTATTTACCTATGTAACAGAACTTCACAGCCTGCACATGAACCCTGGAACTTAAAAAAAAAAAAAAAGAAAAAAATTATCTCATTTAAACTTTATGAGGCAAGCTCAATAGACTGTTTCTTAAACTCCACTTTTGAATGATCCGTGGGGTAAAAGAAGATTCCATCCCTCTATGCAATATACCAACTGACGCTTCAGGCTCACCGAACGCCCCTGGCTAGTACAGTGCTTTCTAATATGCCTTCATCTTCTCTGTAGGTTCAGTTGTGTGATTACCAAGAGCTGCTTGTATTTATTCTAAACCTTTTCATTCTAATGGATTTTATTTAAATTATGTAATGCAATTACATTTAACATAAATGAGGAAAATATGAGTATGTAGGCAAAGAATATTTTCCCATCAAAACAATAATTTAGTGGGAAAGATGTGGTAAAGGCTGACTGTTAATAAGAGCCACAACAAAAAATATGTGAAGTTGAAATGGGCAAGGTGGCTACTGGGGTAATCTTTTTCTTTATTTTTTAAAGTAGTGAGAATTTTGCTTAAATAGCTTTGGAAGCATGCCTGTGTCTCTACTGACCTTTTAAGGGACAGACTGGAAATTGTAGGTCCATAGACAGGTACAACAATAACAACAACAAAAAACCCTGGTATTGTATCAAAATATTGGCAAATGAGTGTACAGTTTTATATTTTAAAACAAAGTGGTGAAAGTATTTTTAATTACCTATTGGAACCAGCTTATTTGATGAACCAACAAATGATGGTTCTGATCATGATGATAAGAGGACTTCTACCCTGCTCTTACTATCCCCATTTTACGATGGTAAAATAAGGCATTAAGAGACAATAACCTCCCCAAGGCTGCATATCCAGTAAGGGGTGGAGCTGGGGTTCAAACCCAAGAAACCTGTCTCTAGGTTGACAAGCTGTCAACCAGGACATGAAACCTCCTCCAGAATAGGCAAGAAACATGCAGGCTGGAGAGCTGGACACATCTTTCCCTTGGAGCAGCCACATCCTCACATCTGTATTTCCTCGGTGGGGGAGTCCCAAATCTTTACACAAAAGAATACGGAATTTGCAATGAGTCAAACTGGGTCAAATCTCAGGTCTGTAGCTTAGTGTGATGTTGGGCGAGCCATCAGTCCCTCTGAACTGTAGTTTCTTCACCTGTAAAGTACACAATTAGCTGGTATTGTTTATGATTCTTGGTAAACCACCAGCATACCTGTTAATTCTCAATGTTGGTCGAATGGAATAACCAACCCTTTTCAGCCATTTCAACAAGTATATGTTTTATTATGGAAGTAGTGGGGAAAGTTTGAGAATGATCTGGAGGAGAGATTTTAGGAGAAACCCCTGCAGATGCTCTCTCAGACGCTCTGGGTGCATCCTCCCAAGGCACGGCTCCCACAGAGACCTTCCAGCCATGCCTCTGGGCACCCAGGTGCCGTTCCTCAAAGGACCCAGTTCATTACACTCCACACAGAGAACTTTCTTCAGAGGTAAGAATGCCAGGGAGATGGAGGCCTTGTGAAGGCTCAGCTGAGATGGAGCAGGCTCACTAGAAAGAACAGCAGGGATCATCCCTAAGAACGGAAAGAAAAGAGAGAGAAATCTGTGCATTGATTTCCATCATGCATTCTCAAAACTCCTTGCCTGGTGCCGTCTCTATCCTCCCCTACAGGAATCTCTGTGACCCGCCTGAAGCCCACCTCCTCCCTCCATCATCCTGGTCCACTCTCCCCCATCACTAAGTTCCACCCACTTTGTTCCTACACCCACCAACCAGGCTGTTCCAGCACCTGGAACACACTTCCCTCAGATCTCACGGACCCTAGGTTAGCCCAGTCACCAGGGCAACTGTCTCCTCCTCAGAGCAGGGCTCTTTTAGAGACCAGCCAGCAGAAGGAACCGCCCCGCCACCCCGCCCCGGGCCCTCCCCCGCCCCGGGCCCTCCCCCGCCCCGTTCCTCACTGTCCCAGCGCCGGGCTGGAGCGCGTCCTGCTGCCCCACCTCCCACTAGAGGGTGAGCCCCACAGGAGCAGGGACTGCCCAGGCCTGCCTGCACTGCACCCTCAATCTGGTGCCCTGGAGTCAGGGTTGCAGGAAGAGAACTTAGTTTGCCAGTGGAGGCTGGAGTTCCAGGGATGCATCAGGGGTACTTCTTGCTCCCAGAGGGGCTCACACGTCTGTGTGAGCTGGGGTCCTCAAACTGTGTTCCACAGGGCCAACTGCGGCTGCATCCCTTTCAATAAAGTTTGTTTTTGTAATTGAGGTAAAATGCCCATAACATAAAATTCACCATTCTAACCATTTTGAAAGTGCACAATTGAGTGGCTTTTACTAAATCTATGCACAAATAGATGTTGCGCCCTTGTCACCTCTAAGAGTGGCACATTTTCATCAACCGAAAAAAGAAATCTCTTAAGCAGTCACTCCCCTTATCCTTCTTCCCCTCAGCCCCTGGAAACCACTAGTTGACCTTCTCCAAATCTGTGTATGTAATACCTATGGCATCATATACTGTGTGGTCTTTTGCATCTGCTGCTTTTACTCAGCACAAGGTTTTCAAGGTTCAGCCATGTCGTTGCACATGCCGGGACCTAATTCCTTTTTTTAGGGCTGAGTAAGAATCTATTGTATGATTGTACCATGTTTTGCTTAGCCAATCGTCAGTTGTTGGCCACAGTCACAGCCATCGGTGTATTCTCTGTGATTGCTTTGACCTCCGACAGCAGAGTACAATAGTTGCAACAGACGCCATATGCCCTGAAAAACCAACACTTACTATTTGGCCCTTCACAGGGAAAATTTGCCAACCTCTTGGCTAATGGGTCGGAGGCACACCGTTATATGAAAATAACTATATGGTTTGACTGGTACTTTAATGTTTGGTTAAAGAGAGCCTGAAAAACCAGTCAGCACTATTCATTTCCCTCAGCAGTCTTCCTCAGTGAAATCTGAAGGATTGCTGAACCAAAGCATTGCTTAGGTGAATCGAGAGGATTTTTCTAGTTAGACACAGATCAAGGGATCAATGTGTGTAGTGGCATATGGAGTTGGGGGAAAATGTGGTATTTTCAGGGGAATCCAAAGTGGTTTAATACAAGGTGGGTATGGTGGCTCATGTCTGTAATCCCAGCACTCTCAGGACGGGTGTTCAAAACCAGCCTGGCCAACATGGTGAAACCGCATCTCCACTAAAAGTACAAAAATTAGCCGGGCATGGTGCATTCACCTGTAGTCTCAGCTACTTGGGAGGCTGAGGCAGGAGAATCGCTTGAACCTGGGAGGCCAAGGTTGTACTGAGCCGAGAGCCTGGGCAACAAGAGCAAAACTCCATCTCAAAAAAAAAAAAAAAAAAGTTTAATATGGACAGGGGATGGAATGTGGGACAAAGAGAAGTGGAGAAAAATTTAGAGAAGCAGGAAAAGTTTGGAGTCTGAGAACCCTTGGGTTCCACGCCAGGAAGCTGAACTTGATCAATGGGTCAGAGGCTTCCTGCCGTGTTCCCTGAAAACCTGGGATGTTTTAGGGATTCCACAAAGGTTTGCTTTGATTTCCATTTCAAAAATGAAACTGTTTCTTAAAATGGGTGTGTACCTAAAACACAGCCCATGGACTAAAATTTTTATTCACTGGAGAGCCACACCAACCTGTTGCATGCTTTACATATAGAACTTGGAAAAAAATTTTCATTAACGGAAGGGCATGTAGAGTTTACAAGGCAAACTGTTAGATAACTGTTAACATTTGAGTGACTTATCTCTGGGTTAAGATTTTTTTCTCCATATGAACAACTGAAAGGAAATACTGAAAGAAAAGGGATAATAATACAAAGAAGCATAAGACTGCAAAGGCCTCAGCAGATGAGAATAGTTAGGAGGTAAAAAAGAAAGAAAAAAAAAAAAAGACTGCAAAGGCCTTCAGAGTAAGATGTAAGACCAAAAGATCTTCAGAGTTCAACGTAAGACCGCAAAGGCCTTCAGAGTAAAACGTAAGACAGCAAAGGCCTTCAGAGTGACGTAAGACCGCAAAGGCCTTCAGAGTAAAACATAAGACCGCAAAGGCCTTCTGTAACCTGTGCTTGCAAATCTTATCACCTGACTTCATCATAGGTAAATGCCACATAGTTAACCTTATGAAAAGTATTTCTGGTAATGAAAAGCAACTTTGAATTTTTTATAGATTGGGATTCCATGTAAGATTTCAGTAGAAACATGTTTTGGATTTACTTTCTTTTAAAGTGTGAAAGACACTGATAATAGTTGATGAGCTTTCACTGGTGGATTTAAGCTGGAGTGTAGCAGGGGGTAGAGGTATATTATATCACGCCACTGCCTCACGTGATATAATTTACACTTTTTAATGTAAAGAGAGCACTGGGGATGCCAGTGGCAGGATGAAAGGCAGACAGCGTAGGAGAGGCTCTTTGTAGCTGTCAAGGGAAGAGAAATATCCCATCTGTCTTTAGTACTTTCTCACCATGCCCTGGACCCTAGCCATGACCAGGCTACCATCATCTCATGGAAACCGAATAGCCTCTCAACTGGCCTCTGCACTTCATGTCACTGAGACATGTCCCATTCCCTCCGACAGCCTTTCTGTGGCTTCGCCTGACTCTTAGGGTTGGGTCTAAATGCTTGCTCTCATCTTGTAGGTCTGAGGTGGTCTGCTGAGCATGCCACCCACGCTTCTCCCACAGTGCTCTCCCACTCCCTCCCCTTCTTCTGCCCCCATTTTTCTTTCTGACTCCAGGCACGTCTAGGCCACTCTCCACCCTAGGGCATTTTTACAAGCCAGTTCCTTCACCTGGAGTCTCTTTCACGTGTTTTCTGTCGGGCTGGCAACCCCTAATTCTACAGGCCTTTAATTCAACGTCACTTTCCTAAAGAACCTTTCCTCCATCACCCAACTATCCAGGGTCAGGTTCTTCAGTTTTCTTTTGTATAATAGTCTGTGCTTTTCCTCTGTAGCTCTAAGCATCACCTGTAATCATCTAATTGTTTTCTTGTGAGCACAGGAATGTAGTCTGCCCTGTTCACCACTGCATCCAGGACACATCAATGAGTAGATGTAGACACAGAATTATCATATGACCCAGCAATTCCACTCCCAGGTATATACCCCAAAAGATTTAAAAACAGATATTCCAACAAAACTTTGTTTATAAATGCTCATAGCACCACTACTCACAACAATCAAAAAGTAGAAACGACCCAGTGCACTTTACCTGATGATGGAGAAACAGAATGTGGTGTATCCATGCAGTGGAGTACTCAGTGGGAGTGAATACAGTACTGATACAGGGTAGAACATGATGAACCTTGGGAATACTATGCGAAGTGAATGAAGCCAGACAGAGGGCCACGCAGGTTGTGATTCCATGGGTATGACGTGTCCAGAACAGGTAAGTTCTCAGAGACAGAGAGCAGACTAGTGGTTGCCAGGAGCCAGGGGAGTGGTGATGTCATTGCTACCGAGTTTCCTTTTAGGATGATGGAAGGATTCTGCAAACAGTGCTGATGGTTGCCCAACATTGTGAGTGCACCGAATGTCACTAATGGTTCATTTTACGTTGTGTGTGTTTGGCCACAAGTCCTGAGACTTGCGGAAAAATGATAAAGTGAGTTCATAAAGGAGCTCCTCCTGCCTGAGACGTCCCTGTCATTTACAGCTGTGTTTTCCGGCCCATGTCGGGCAGTGGCTTGCATTTAAGGGTGACAAACTTGGGACTTATGCATTTCTGGGTTTCTATGATCATAACTTCCAAATCCACCTGTGTCCTGACCTCAAATGCCAGGCAGTTGGGATGAACCTCCCCCACCCCACCTCAGCGGTGGGAAAAGCCCCACTTCCCTGCCGTCACATACCTGATGTCCAGTTCCAAGTTACAGTAGTGGCAGTAACACTTGGGAGGAAAAGGTGAACCGGAAACAGAGAAGGAAACAGTTGGGATGAGGCGAGGGAATTCCTTCCCTCCTCCCTTTCTCCCCATCCTCCTCTCCCTTCTTTCCTGCTCTCCCCCTCTGCTGTTTCCCTCCAGTGGTGACATCCCGTGGGCTCTATTCAGCTCCCCCCCTCACCACTCCCACCTTCTTCCCCATCTTCCAGCCAGTTCTTCTCCTCCCAGAAGCGGCACAGTCTCCTAAGCTGGGGTTTCTCAGCCTCCGATTCCTGCCACTGTTGACCTGGGTTCTCCTCTGTCGTGGCGAGCTGTCCTGGGCCAGGGTAGGATGTTGAGTGGCATCCCCGGCCTCCACCCTCTAGATGCTGCTAGTGCTCCCTCTGTCACAACCAATCATGTGCTCCAGACACTGCTGAGTGTGCCCTGGGTGGCAATGTCACCCCAGTTTGAGAACCACTAGCCCGTTCACTGTCCCAGGCTCATCTCCCTGGCCGCTCCGTTTTCCTCACTCCTCACACTCAGCGCATAAGCAGTGCCTGTAGAACTGCTGCGCGGCTCCCATCTCCACGGGCACCACGGTATCTCCTGCCCTGGCAGGGGACTTCCCCTCTCCGCCTCCACTCCCGCCTGATTCTGATTCAACTCCCCACAGGCAGCACCCAGAGGGACCCTGTCATAACCCAGAAGGGATCTCACTGGTGGCTGTCCACAGGTTTAGAACACACACTTCCTCCTCGTGTGGTCTGTGAGAACCTTGCGTGACCGGGGCCCCCCTGCCCCTCTCAGGTCACAGTGGATTTTCCTTTGGTTCCTTGGAAGGCACTCAGCATGTGCCTTTCCCAGGGTCAGCTGCGTGGCCTGCTCTGCTCACGGTGGTTGCCCCCAAGCTACTCTGAAGGCACAGTCCTTCCGGTCTGTCATCTCTATGTCCTGCCCGGGGAAGCTGGCCCATGGCCCTGCTCACTCAGCGATCTCACCCTGATTTACTTCATGCTTTCTGGAGCTTGTTTCTCTGCAGTCCTCCTGCTGTTAGTCACTGTCAATCATGCGAGCTCCGGGGACTCTAGGACCTTATGGGCTCTGTCGTCCTCTGAGTCCCCAGCATCTAGGGGGGGTCCTCTGCCCACATGAGTGTCTCAAGACTGAATGAATGAATGATGCCTTGTCACTTCTTTCTTTCCTGCCTTCTTTTTCTTTTTCTTTCCTTCCTCTTTCCTTTCCTTTCCCTTTCCCTTTCTCCCTTTCTTTTCTGTCTTTTCTTACCTTTACTTTTTTGAGGCAGGGTCTCACTCTACCACCCGGGCTGAAGTGCAGTGATGTGATCTTGGCTCACTGCACCCCCCCACCTCCCAGGTTCAAACAATTATTCTGCCTCAGCCTCTCAAGTAGCTGCAATTACAGGCGCCTGCCATCCACACCTGGCTACCTTTTTTTTAGTAGAGACGGGGTTTCACCATTGCTGACCAGGCTGGTCTCGAACTCCTGGCCTCAAATGATCTGCCTGCCTTGGCCTCCCAGAATGCTGGGATTACAGGTGAGAGCCACCACGCCGGCCTGGCTCGTGGTTTCTTGCACCCTGCCATATTTTCACATCTCTGAGTCCTGTATATGGTATTTAATCCTCTGGAAGGCGTCCCCGGCTTCTTCTCTTCAATTGGCTGATTCCTTCCTGTCCTTAACCCACAGCGGAGGGGTCACCTCCCGTAGAAAGCCTTCCATGTGCCCATGCTTCCCCTAGGCCGCAGTAAGCCCCACTGCCTCCTGCACTGGCACGTGCTCACGAAGTGCCACCACTCAGTGATCTGGCTCTCTCTGCGGAGGCCTGCCTCCCTTGCAGTATTAGGACCTGCTCGAAGGTAGCTCAACCATCAGAGTCCCCAGCAACCAGTCAAAGCCTTGGTCCTTATGAACGTCCCTTAGAAATGGCAAGAGACAGTGACAGAGAGAGAGGCAGAATGAGTGACAGTATTTCAGAGGAGCCCCCGGGGCTGTGTTAGTGCAGAAGGGAGTAGCTTTTGTCCCAGTCTAGAGGTGGAAGGGAGGGAAGAAGGAGAGAGGAGGAGGAAGGTGGGAGGGAAGAAAAGGGGGAGGAAGAAAAGGAAGGGGGGAGGGAGAGAGGAAGGAAAGAAGGGCAGGAGGGAAGAAGGATGGGGAAGGAAGAAGGGAGGGAGGAAGCAGAGGGAGGAAGAAAGCGGGAGAAAGACATGAAGGGAGAAGAACAGAGTGGAGGGAGGGAGGAAGGAGAGAGGAAGGAAGAATGAAACGCGAGTGGAGGGGGGGAGGGAGGGAGGGAGGGAGAAGGAGAGGGTGTTTTACAGAAGAGCTCTCCCAGCATTTCCCTCTGGGCACCTCGAGGCTCCCTCCGTCCCCTCCTCTGTGCCCCCACCTCCCTCCTCCTCCCTCCTCCTCTCTCCTTCCTCTCTTCACCCTCCTCCCCTCCTGTGCTGGCCTCCTCTTACCCAGTCCCCTTTGTTGTAGGTCACGAAGAGGTAGGTTATCACCATGTAGGCACATTTCAGGAAGTTCCATCTGTTCCTCCTCTTAGGGGGTGGTTTCCTGGATGGGGTGGTGGCTGCGAGAGGCTTAACTGAAGAGAACCGTGGAGATGAGTTATGCTGACGGCCTTCCCTCCCTGCCCTAGAGCTTCCTGCCCCTGCTGTTTCTCCATTCTGATCTCCAAACTCACATCTCTGCCTGCCTCCGGAGTTGGAATTTTGGTCTACACCTGCCACCATTGCCAGCTTCCCGCTTCTCAGTGACCTCCATACCCCAGACAAACAGTCAGGGAAGCCTTTTGGCTGTCTCACACCTCACATCCAAGACATCACCGAGTCTGACCCTGTCTTGCCCAGGTTTCTCACCAAACTGTCAGAGGGGTTTGAACCAGAGCGGCTCCATCTTGAATCGGGGCTGGATGAAATGAGGCTGAACCCTACTGGGCTGCATTCCCAGGAGGTTAAGATAGTCTTAGTCACAGGATGAGAACAGGAGGTCAGCACAAGATACAGGTCACAAAGACCCTGCTGATAGAACAGGTTGCAGTCAAGAAGCTGCCACAACCCACCAAAACCAAGACGGTGATTAAAGTGACCTCTGGCCGTCCTCACTGCTCATGGTACACTAGTTATAATGCATTGGTATGCTAAAGGAGATGCCTACCAGGGCCGTGACAGTTTACAAAGCCATGGCAACATCAGGAAGTTACCCAACTTGGCCTAAAAAGAGGAGGAACCCTCAGTTCCAGGAAATCTCCACTCCTTTCCTGGAAACCTCGTGAATTATCCACCCCTTCTTTATCATAGAATCAGGAAATAACTATAATATAGTCAATACAGGCCGGGCGCGGTGGCTCAAGCCTGTAACACCAGCACTTTGGGAGGCCGAGGCGGGTGGATCACAAGGTCAAGAGATCGAGACCATCCTGGTCAACATGGTGAAACCCCGTCTCTACTAAAAAAAATACAAAAAGTTAGCTGGGCGTGGCAGCGCGTGCCTGTAATCCCAGCTACTCAGGAGGCTGAGGCAGGAGAATTGCCTGAACCCAGGAGGCGGAGGTTGCGGTGAGCCGAGATCGCGCCATTGCACTCCAGCCTGGGTAACAAGAGCGAAACTCCGTCTCAAAAAAAAAAAAATATATATATATATAGTCAATACAGCAGCCTTTGCTCTCGGCCTATGGAGTAGCCATTCTTTTACTCCTTTGCTTTCTTAATGAACTTGCTTTCACTTTATGGATTTGCCTCAAATTCTTTCCTGCATGAGGTTCAAGAACCCTCTCTGGGGTCTTGATTGGGACCCCTTTCCGGTCACAAGGCCATCACCTCTCCCCCATCCTAGTCTCAGGCTCTGCTCTTGCTGGCTGCCTCTGCCTCCTCTGCCATACTTTCTCTTTCTCATGAGCGTGAGCAGGATCACTGTAGCACCAGATCAGACCGCGGCGCGTTCTTATTTCGGACCTCATGTGCTGCACGCATGCTTCTTTTGCCTGTGTAACATTTCCCCCGTCTTTTTATTTCGAAAGTATTACACTCAGAAAATCTGTTTTTTACAGGTAGACCTGTCTGTCAAAAGAGGTTTTCAATAAAAAATAAAACATTATCAGTGTAAACGCAAATGCAAATCAAAAAAGGAAAAAAGTTACTTCTCCCATTGACAGCTCAGGAAGCGATTCCTCCCTGTCCCCTTTGCTTAGCGTGTTTACTTTAGAAACCTTGCCACTGCAAGTCTCTGTCTCTTCAAAGGGTACACACATCTTTTTCAAAGCTAAGGAAGCCTGCTGCCAGCACTGTGAGCCAGGCAGGTGTTTTCAACGACCTTGAAACCATCCCTTGGAAATGTAAACACTGAGGAAGGTACTACCCACTTCTCCCCAGCTTCTTGTTAGGAAGGATGGAGCCTCACTTTGGTGGGCACCCCACTGCTAGTAGCAAATTTATCTCCTGTGAGAAACATATTAGAAGTTTATTTTTGGGCCAGGTGCCATGGCTCATGCCTGTAATCCCAGCACTTTGGGAGGCCGAGGTGGGCAGATCACGAGGTCAAGAGATTGAGACCATCCTGGCCAACATGGTGAAACCCCATCTCTACTAAAAATACAAAAAATCAGCTGGGCGTGGTGGCGGGCACCTGTAGTCCCAGCTACTCAGGAGGCTGAGGCAGGAGAATTGCTTGAACTCGGGAGGTGGAGGTTGCGGTGAGCCAAGATGGCGCCATTGCACTCCAGGCTGGGCAACAGAGCAAGACTCCCTCTCAAAAAAAAAAAAAGATTTATTTTTCCCTTAGATTAACAAAATAAACACAGATGGCTGCCTCAATAAGCAGGTTAATTTCAGATGAACCATGTACAGCAAATAGAGTTGCTAAGTCCTCCTCTTCCTTGAGGACTAGCTGCTGTTTATCTTGAGAGCGGGTATGTAATAAGTTGTATCTGTTTGGCTATATAAAAGGGTGAACATTTTTTTTCCGTCTTTGCAGTCTCTTTGAATATCACGTTCTGGGTTTAATACTTACCCATCAATAAAACTATTTTCGTCCGGGTGCGGTGGCTCAAGCCTGTAATCCCAGCACTTTGGGAGGCCGAGGCGGGTGGATCACGAGGTCAAGAGATCGAGACCATCCTGGCCAACATGGTGAAACCCCATCTCTACTAAAAATACAAAAAAGTAGCTGGGCATGGTGGCACGTGCCTGTAATCCCAGCTACTCAGGAGGCTGAGGCAGGAGAATTGCCTGAACCCAGGAGGCGGAGGTTGCAGTGAGCCGAGATCGCGCCATTGCACTCCAGCCTGGGTAACAAGAGCGAAACTCCGTCTCAGGAAAAAAAAAAAAAAAAAAAAAAAAAAGCAATAAAACTATTTTCTTTCTCTTCTACCTGTGTGGAGAAGATCACTGGGTCTGGAGGATATTTTGTGTTTAATTATATGTCACCAACACCAGCCTATCCCAGGCCTCTCAGAAATCCCCTCCCAATCAAAGGTACACAATCACATCTATAAAAAAAAAAACGAGGCTCTTCTTTCTTTCTTTGTTTGCAATCCTTTCGCCTCTTCTTTCCTTTTCCTTGCCTGGCTAGGACTTGCACTAGCTAGAACACTCAGTGCAATGTGAAATGCAAGCGGTGATAGCAAGAACATCTCAACTGTGACCTCAGAGGGGACATGCTCTACCCCATCAGCCCTCTGTGTCGCCAGATTCCACGTCTGAGGACTCGGCCAACAACTGGCCAAAAATACTTCTAAAAATCCCAAGAAAAATAGCAATACCACAATTAAAAAAATACAAAAATATAACAGTATAGTAGCTAAGGAGCATTTACATGGGGTGAAGTATTATGAGTAATCTAAGATGATTTCCAGTGTGCAGGAGGCAGGAGGCTGTGCATAGGTTAAATGCAAGCACCGGGCTATTTTGTATCATGGACTTGAGCATCAGTGCATTTTGTTATCCGCACAGAGGTCCTGGACCCAACCCCTGAGGATACTGAGGGTTTTACCTTAAATAGGTTGTTCCTTGTCATTTTTTTGGTAGTTATTACTTATTATATTGAGATGTTCCCTTCTACTCCTAGCTAGCTGAGGTGTTTTCTTGTTTGTTTTTTTAATTTTGTTTGCTTGCTTGTTTTATCATGAGTAAGGCAGGGCATGGTGGCTCACATCTGTAATTCCACCACTTTGGGAGGCTGACGTGAGAGGTCTCTTGTGCCCAGGAATTTGAGACCAGCCTGGGCAACATAGGGAGACCCCCAACTCTACCAGAAATTTAATATATTAGCTGAGTGTGGTGTCGCATGCCTGTGGTCCCAGCTACTCAGAAGCTGTAGGGGGAAGATCACTTGAGCCCAGGAGTTTGGGGTTGTAGTCAGCTGTGATCATATCACAGCACTCCAGCCTGGGCAACAAAGCTAGACCCTGTCTCAAAAAAAAAAAAAAAAAATCATGAATAACTGTAAAATCATACCATATTCTTTTTCTGTATCTACTGAAATAATGTGCTTTTTTATGTTAATAAGGTGGGAATACTATATATTGGTTTTTATCTATTAAACCATTGTTGCATTGTTGGAATAAAGGGAATTTGGTCATGATTCTTTAAACTATCTTGCCAAATTGGATTTGCTAATATTTAGTCTAGGATTTTGCATCTATGTTTGTGGGAAAGAATGGCCTGAAATTTTCCTTTTTCATATTTGTCAGATCTTTTATCAAGGTTACTCTGTCCAAAAATGAGTTGGGAAATGACCATTTTTAATGTTGTAGATTTCATGTAGGATCAGTGTGATTTCTTCCTTAAGTGTTTGAAAGAATTCACCATTAATGCTGTCTTGAACCTGGAAGACGCTTTTGTGTGGGGAAAGGATATTTAATTACAGATGACTTTTTTTTTTTTTTTTTTTTTTTTGAGAGGGAGTTTCGCTCTTGTTACCCAGGCTGGAGTGCAATGGCGCGATCTTGGCTCACCACAACCTCCGCCTCCTGGGTTCAGGCAATTCTCCTGCCTCACCCTCCCGAGTAGCTGGGATTACAGGCACACGCCACCATGCCCAGCTCATTTTTTGTATTTTTTAGTAGAGACGAGGTTTCACCATGTTGACCAGGGTGGTCTCGATCTCTTGACCTCGTGATCCACCCGCCTCGGCCTCCCAAAGTGCTGGGATTACAGGCGTGAGCCACCACGCCCGGCCCCAGGTGACATTTCTTTAACATGTGGAGGATTGTTCAGATTTTTTATATCATGTCATTTGTTTTGGTAATTTGTAGTTTTCTAGGATTTTGTCCATTTTATCTAAACTTTCAATTTTATTGGCATAAAGTTTCTCCAGTTATCTCCTTACTGTTATTTTATTTATGACGTTCTCGCTTCCTTCCGAATATCGACAGTTTGTTTCTCCTCTGTTTTTTCTTATCAGTAATGCCAAAGAATTAAATTTCTATTACTCTTTTCAAAAGAACCCACCGTTAGTGTTGTTCTGGTTTTTTTGCTTTTTGTTTTTTGTTTTTATTTGAGGCTTGCTTAGTTACCCAGGCTGGATACAGTGGCACAATCACGGCTCACTGCAGCCTCCACCTCCCCAGCTCAAGTAACCCTCCTGCCTCAGCCTCCCAGGGAGCTGGGACCACAGGCGCTGCCACCATGCCCAGCTCTACCTATTTTAAAGCGCTCATCTCCACCATCTGGGTCACTTGGAGGCTTGCTGCTATTATCTGGTTTTCCTTCCCTTGGTTTTCTGCCCCACAGTCCTGTCACCCAGGACTTAACCTGGTAATTTCTAGTGGGGAAGAGAGGACTCAACAGTCCCCAGAAGCAGCAGCTGGGACAAAAATGTCTCCCACTCACATCTCAGTATGTTGGGTCTTCTTGATGCCCATGAGCAGTGTAAAGGGGGCAGGTGGCTTGCAGACTTTGGATACCCTTTGGGAAGGCAGCCTCTCAGGTACCAAAGCCCCTGGTCTTATTACCTGAAATCTTCTTTTTTTTTTTTTTTTTTTTAAAGACAGGGTTTCACCATGTTGGTCAGGCTGGTCTTGAACTCCCAACCTCAGGTGATCCGCCCGCCTTGGCCTCCAAAGTGCTTGGATTACAGGTGTGAGCCACCGTGCCCGGCCCTACCTGAAATCTTCTAAGGCTTTATCCTAGCCCAGACTGAGGGACACACTGTCCTGTGGATGAGGAATGGCGTGACTCCATGCACTCACCTTCCTCCTTGCAGTCACTTGTTTCTTCTGAAAATGAAAAGGAGGAGGAAGAGGGAAGGAAGAAAGGGGGCGAGAGAGGGAGGGAGGAAGAGGAGGAGGAGGAGGAGGAGGAGGAAAACAAGGAAAAGAAAAGGAACCGTCAGGTGAATGATGAAGCGGATGGAGACCAAACTCTAAATAGGGCTTCTGGGTGCCTCAAATGAGAGAAGAGAATGCAGTTAGTTTCCTCCGTGTCCCTGGATCCCAGGGACTCTCCTGCCTCAAGACCTTTGTTAGGACTGTTGGCCCCACAGGGTTGTGAGGTGTCCCTTATGCTGTGCTGAGATGCGGGATCCGAGAAGTAAAGAGACAGGACGCTGAAGAACTGGAGATGAGCAGCTGGACTCGGGGCGGGGAGGTGGGGGGCACGCCACCTGTGAGTTGAGACAGGCGAGGCCTTGAACACCCAGAAGCGTCTGTATTTATTAGGTACAGGCAGGGGGCAGGGTTGTGAGTGAGGTCATCATCTATAAGCTTAGTGATAAGGCATACATAATCACGTGAGTGACAAGCGAGGGGGCCACCCCATTACGTCACCTGGGCAGAGAGGTGCGCCGTGAGCAGTAGGGGGCCATGCCATGCGCAGTAGTAGAGGGTCATATACAGAAAAGGGGTCCACCCCCATTAGGTCACTGAGGCAAGAAGGTGGGCTGTGTGCAGCAGGTGTCGTGCGCAGCACTTCTTATCTGGGGGCTGGAGACTTCAAAGGGTTTCTAATAGAAGGATACTGTAAGCCAATGCAGCGGGAGCTGACAGACATGTGCTCTTCTCTTAAGATCTTTATGGGAGGATGATCTGAGCTAGCACAGAAGCGAGGAAAGGCTGACAGGGTGTCCAGCCACCGAGACTGGTCACACCAGAGGGGTTTTTCTCCGTCGGTTTGTGGGATCTCAGGCCTGAGGCCTGCTTTCCACAGGAACTGGATGCAAGGTACTACAACTCCTTTATCAGGAGGAGTGGCTCCTGCTCCAAGCCTGCCATACAGCGTATGTCCTTTCAGGCAGGGACGCCACCCCCGGGGTCTTTGGTTCTTGTCCTGGTCTGACTGTTTTCCCATTGCGGCTTCTGTTCTGTGACTGCTCTAGGCATTCCTCCTACTACAGACTACTATATGGTTATATGGAAGGATTCTATAAATCGGCACTAAATGTGTCGGTACAGCTCCGACTACAATACCGTTATGATTATATAAGCTAGATAGATGTAAGCAGTAAGTTATACTTCAGGCAGTAATTCCATAAACTAATATATGATTATATATAAAGGATTATATAAAGGAAATAGCTGAGTAGTAACACTACAAGATATTCTTCAGGCACTAATTGTGCCTGGGGTTTGCACAGCTCTCCTTCCTTGGTGCCCATGTGGAGGGTTACCCACACCTTTGCACATGCTGTTCTATCTTCCTGGAATGCCCTTCCCCAGCTACGTGTGCCTCACCTGCCCTTCTTCTTCAAGGCTTTGCTAAAATGTCATGTTCCCCTGACTGCCCTTTAAAAACTTCTTTTTTTGAGACAGAGTTTCGCTCTGGTTGCTCAGGCTGGAGTACAATGACATGATATCTGTCACTGCAATCTCCACCTTCCAAGTTCGAGCGATTCTTCTGCCTCAATCTCCTGAGTAGCTGGAATTACAGGTGCACGCCACCACACCTGGCTAATTTTTTGTATTTTTAGTAGAGACAGAGTTTCACCATGTTGGCCAGGCTGGTCTCGAACTCCTGACCTCAAGTGATCCACCTGCCTGGGCCTCCCATAGTGCTAGAATTACAGGCATGAGCCACCGCGCCCGGCCCAAAAATTTAACTTCTCCCACACTGCATTCCCTCTCCATTACTCTGTTGTCTTCATAGGACATGACAGCACCTGACAGACCTGTAACCTGCCTCTTTATGTGTTTTCTCCTCTGATTGGAATACAAGTTCCGCTTGGTCCCAGGCTTGTATCTGTTTTGTTCTCTGCTGTATCTCCAACACCTAGAATAAGATTTTGTATAGGATAGCTAACATCAATTCATATTTGTTGGACAAATAAAAACAGGCTAAACATTTGTGATGCAGATGATGGTGTGGATAAAAAGTGTAAGGTCTGATGCTATTTAAGGCTCCTCCACCATAGTAAAAGGCCAGTACCGTATATTTCTGTGCACAGGAGTCAACACAAAATAGCACAGTCAGCAGACTTACCATGCAGTACTTGGAGGCTCAGCAAACCTAATAAGGAAGACAGGGGCATACAATGCAAGTCAGAGGGAGCAGCATGAGAAATACTTCCAGGCCAACAGGTCCAGCAAGCTCGCCCCAAGCACTCTTCCTCCGAGAAGCCCTTCGGGATTCCCCCATCTTCCCCTTTCACACTGTCCCCAAGGCCACCTCCTCCTGGCTGTAAAGTAACTGCCTGTGACTTGTCCGTCTCCCCCCCCTGCATTAGACTGTCAGTTGGTGTGAGGGTGTGAGCATGTCAGATCCGTCTTTCAGCTTTCCCACATGGCCCTGCCTACTATTCATACCGAATGCTAGGTATTATAGAACATTCTTCCCAAACCAGCTTCCCACAAAGTCCGGGGCATGCACGGACTGAGGTTTTACCTAGGATCTCTGATGTGATCCATCCGGAAGGAAATGGGGTGCAGGAAGCAAGACATAGGTCAGGCGAGCAGACAGGGCCCAGAGTGTGGAGTTCCAAGGAGCCATGAAGGAGGCGGCCGCATGTGGGGAAAAACCACAACATCAGAAGACGGAGGGAGGAGCCCTGGGTGGGTCGTGGTGGATGGTCAGGACGTGCAGAGTTAACAAGGCAGACAGTCGAAGGCTGCATGGTGGGTCAGAGGGGATGGCAGTGCCTTGCAGGACTCTCACAGCAGCCGGGTTAGGCTGGGAGGGAAGCTGCCACGCCGTTCCCATCTTTTCTGTTTGGAGACGGAGTCTCATTCTATTGCCCAGGCTGGAGTGCAGTGGTGCAATCGTGGCTCACTGCAACCTCTGCCTCCCAGGTTCCAGCGAACTTCCCGCCTCAGCCTCCCGAGTAGCTGGGGTTACAGGTGCCCACCACCACGCCCAGGTAATTGTAGTTTTGTAGAGATGGAGTTCTGCCATATTGGCCAGGCAGGTCTCGAACTCCTGACCTCAGATGATCCACCTGCCTAAGCCTCCCAGAGTGCTGGGATTACAGGCGAGAGCCACTGCGCAAAGCCTTTTTCCTATGTGTTGTGTGTCCCTCTAATGTGAGCACCTACATACGTCATCCAAGGGGTGGCACACTGCATTCCCTCCAGTTCTTGTTGTTTTCTTAGTAACAGCTTGCTTGGTATATTAATATAATTCACGTAACTTACGAGTCACCCGTTAAGTGTACAAGATAGTGTTTTTTAGTACATTTACAAAGCTGTGCATCTGTTACCACAATCAATTTTAGAACATTTTCATCACCCAAAAAAGAAACCGTGTACCTGTTGGCCATTGTCCCCCAAACCCGGTGCCGCTACACAGTCAGTCCCTGTTTCTCTGGGCTCACCCTCCTCTCCCGTGGTCCTGGGCAACCACTAAACTGCTGTTTCTACCTGTGGACATTTCATAGAGCTCAAGTCATAGCCTCTGTGCTTTTGTGTCTGGCTTCTTTCACCAAGCACTGTGTTTTCAAGGCTCATTGATGTCGTCTCCTGTGTCAGCACTTTCTTTGTGGCCGAATAACATTCCATTATATGAATAGACACATTGTGTTTACCCATTCATCAGTGGGTGGACATCCTGACACCTGCTTTTGTAGATAAAGTTTTATTGGAACAGAGCCATGCCCATTCACAGTGTGTTGGTTACTACTTTTGTAAATAAAGTTTTATTGGAACATAGCCATGCCCATTCTCTCTGTGTTGGCTACTACTTTTGTAAATAAAGTTTTATTGGAACACAGCCATGCCCATTCTCTCTGTGTTGTCTGTGGCTGCTTTCAGTCCACAAAGGCAGCATTGAGTATCGAGTGGCCGCAGAGACCACCTGGCCCTCAAAGCCTAAGATATTTACTATTTGGCGCTTTACAGTAAAGAAAAAAAAAATTGCTGATTCATCCCTGCTTTATATCATTGAATTCTCAAACAGAAAAATATTATCTCCATTAATCAAGTAGGAAAACAGAATCTAAGGAAGTTTGAGTAAGTTATACCCAAATGACAGGTGATGGGAGTAGAGTTCTCACCCAGATCTGTTTGCCCTAAAACTCAGGCTGTCTCGGCTGAACCTCACGCATCCTGGGTAAATGTGCAGGTCAGGGAGAAAGAGCCCCTGTACCTCGCAGGGCACAGAGCTTGGCACCTGGCGGGCCCTTAGACCTTTAGTAAAGACGGGGTTTCACCATGTTGACCGGGATGATCTCAATCTCTTGACCTCGTGATCCACCCGCCTCGGCCTCCCAAAGTGCTGGGATTACAGGCCTGAGCCACTGCGCCCAGCCACTTTAACCATTTTCTAGTTTACACTGTTTAATAGCACCGTTTGGGGATCAGATTGGGCTTCAGCTATTCTCTGCACCTTACTGGCTATGTGAGCACGGGCAAGCTACTCGCCTTCTCTCACCATCATGTTTTCAGTTGTAAAACAAGGATGATGGCTTGGGGACTATCACGAATCAAGCACTTACAACTGTGCCTGGTACCTGAAATGTGCTCTCGAGCTGCAGGATACCCTTTTTCAATTTGTTTTTTCATATCAGGATGTCTTGGGTTTCACTGAGGCTCTGGCTGCATAGAAGTTGGGTTTGGAGGTAGGTGAGAGACGTGGACAGGATGATGTCTCAGAACTGGGTTTTAGATGGCTTTGAATGCAGACCAAAAGAGAAGAGTGTGTCCTCAGCCAAAAGGTAGAATCAACCCGAAAGTCTATCAATGGATGGTTGAATTAAAAGTGCAATCTATCCATATAATGGAGTATGACTCAGCCATGAAAAGGAATGCAGCACTGACACAGGCCACAGTCTGGATGAACCTCGAGGATACTATGCTGAGTGAACGAAGCCAGACTCGAAAGACCACACAGTGCATGATTCCACGCCTGTGAGGTACCTAGAATCCTCAAATTCATAGAGACAGAAAGTGAAGTGGTGGTTGCCGGGCTTGGCCAAGAGTGGACCTCCCTTGGCAGAGATGAGAACAGAAGCAAAATACAAGGGGTCAAATGTGAAAGAAGACTTACGTTTCAATACTGTTGAGATGCCAGGAGCAGACAATCCAGTGGGCATTGTTGGGCACCAGTGGAGGCACCGAGAGGAGAGGAAAAGGAAGAAGTTAGTAATGCCTCCTCCTAGCTCCTCCCACCCTGCTGGTTCTCAAAACAGACCTTCCCAAAAATGAGAAATAAAGTATCTTCCAGATTTGATGGGTTAGGCTGGGGCCCATGGTGGATGACTTGAGATGCTTCTTTGAGACTTTACTCCTTTAGAGATGCATTAATCCAGGTGGACAGAGCCCCAGGTATCCAGTTTCCATGGGGATTAATGTTCCAGAGATTAAGAAGCTATGAGAGCATCCCTTTGAGTCTCCAGGGTTCTCTCTCCTTTCTCCCCTGAGGGTCCGGAGGGACAGAGCTTGGGGAAGGAGCAAGGCACTCCTCTTTGGTTCTCTTCTCAGTCACCCTCCCAACAAATCTGTACAACTCAATACTTTCTTGTCTTCTGGGGCAATACTGTGAGCTCCCTGTGAGCTCGGGGACGTGATATGCTAAGGGCTCACACACTCAGTCCTGCATGTAGCCCCAGACCCACCCATACACCAGACACACCCTCACAGCTCTCCACACAATCTGGGGCTTGCTGTCCACCCTGAAACTCCTTCAGAGAAGGGGGCAGCTGATGGAGGGTCTCTCTCAACTTGTGTTCTACATGGAGAAGAACTATCCGAAGATTCCCTTCTTTTTCTTGTTGCCTTTTCTTCCCAGCACTTGAATACTTCCAGGTGACCCATAGGAAAGGAAAAATAACTTACTTTTTACTGGAGGAAGTAGCAGAACCAGCATTCAGGGAGTTAGTATGGAAAAGAGTGAGCAAGAGAATAGAATCAGCAGACATGACATTCAGTTATTCCTCCATTCAGTGTTTTAAACTCTTTATGTATTAATTTTCAATAGAGAAGGGGTCTCCCTACGTTGCCCAGGCTGGTTTTAAACTCCTGGGTTCAAGCCATCCTCCCACCTCTGCCTCCCAAAGTGCTGGGATTACAGGCATGAGCTACCACATCTGGCCCAAAGAATCACCATTTGGGAGGCAAACACAAGAGCTTAGAAATCCATCACAGACATCCTCCTTCTTTGATATGAAGTAGGGTCCCGTACCATAATTTTAAACAAAGACCCTGAGAAGCACTGCTCTAGCTCAGAGGTCAACAAATGTTCTCTCTAAAGGGTCTGACAGTAAATAGTGTAGGCTTTGCAGGCTACATGGTCCTTGTCACAGCTAGGCAACTCTGCCATTAAAGCACAAAGACAACTACAAATAATACCTAAATGAATGGGTGTGACTGTGTGTCAGCAAAACTTTATTTATAAAAGCAAGCAGTGGGCCTGTCTGGAGTTTGCTAAGTCCTGCTTTATCTCAATAGTTCTCAAACCGTCTGAGCCAAATCATCAGAAGCACCTGAGAAACCTTCTGAAAGAACAGATTCCTGGGTCCCACCCCTTGGTATTCTCATGCAGAAGGCCTAGATAGAACACAGAAATCTGTCTTTTTGAAAAAGTTTCAGATAATCAGTTTGGGGAAACTTCCCTTTGTAACTTGTGTTCCATTTGACCGGTGCTTTTGTAAGAATTCAGTAATATAACAGAGGCAGGTTCTCCAGTATTAGTTTTCTTCAACTCCTTCTAATGAACAAAAATAACATGAATAAGACGTACAAGAAACGTGTGAGGGCCGGAAGTGGTGGCTCATGCCTGTAATTCCCCCACTTTGGCAGACCGAGCTAGGAAAATCGCTTGAGCCCAAGAGTTCGAGATCAGCCTGGGCAACATGGTGAGACCCCGTCTCTACAAAAAAAGAAAATATCAGCCGGGTATCATAGTGTGCACCTGTAGTCTTGGCTATTCAGGAGGCTGAGGCAGGAGGATCGCTTGAGCCTGAGAGGTCTAGGCTGCAGTGAGCTACGATTGCACCACTGCACTCCAGTTTGGGCAACAGAGTAAGAACCCATCCCAAAAAACAAACAAAAAAAACCATCCACACACAAGAGAAACATTTGTGTAGTCCGACTACGTGCCAAACGGTTTTCTAGGACATGTACTAAAAGATGGACAAATCTTTGATCTTAAGGATCAGTACTCATGAGAAGAGGGGCCTCGTTCCATCTTACCCAAACTAGATAGAGTATAAATATATCTGTCTTCACAAGAGACTGCTCCACCATCTTTCTTCCTTGAAATTTCCCCACCCTCTATAAAGGGCCTGGCCCCTTTCTCTCCCCCAGACTATCACTTTTCCTTTGGAAGACGAATGGGGTAAGCTCCCTCGCATTGGAGCAATTTCTACACCAAATAAAAAACATATAGTTTACACTTAGTGAGGCACTGAAGATGGTTTACAAGAGACAATTACTAAAATGCAGGAATTGTACAAGGCAGCTGTTAGACCCTTAGTAGCCTGAAATCAGGCATGGTCAGAGTATTTACACCATGGGAAATGGCAGTCACTACAAATGAGGGCTTCCTTTCCCACTGTCCCCGTGCAGAGGTGGTTGTTAGACATTTACCAGCATAGCATAGCTTAGATTCTTCAGCAGAACCTGTACTGATGATGCTCCTGCTGCCAGGCCAATGGCTAAACTCTGGGGCCTGGACCAGCCCTTCCCTGACGTTTTTTAAAGAGTTTGAAAGCCCAGAGTGGGTTATGAGAATCTAATTTCAGAGACAAAGACTGTCACAGTACTTACTTTCTTCTTCTGTCCTATCTGGAGGCGACAATGTGGGCAGCCCAGGTTCCAATGGAGGTGCAGAGCAGAGAGAGAAATCAACATGAAGACATGGGTCTCAGACACCACCAACTAAGCATCCCTGACCAGACAGGACAGCAGAGGCAGAGATGAGGCAGCCCAGCTCACTCATTTTATGGGTGAAGACCCAGACTCAACTCCTTAGTCACGCCTTCTAACAAATGTTTGTGAGGCATCTGCTGTGTGCGGGGCATCACACAAGGTGTGGAGGATGCAGGGGATAGACAGCAAAGCAGGCCTGCCCCAGGTGCTCGGGGAGCTCACACACTAGTCAGGGAAGTGGGCAGCAAAGGCATGAAAAAGTGGAGCGAGAATTTTGGGTAGACCTGCTGGGTTCCATGGGAACCTGTAAGTGGGTGATGGTTGCTGACCTTGTGGGGACGCCAGGGGAGGCATCTTGAGGGAAGTTAGGTTGTGTCTGAGACCTGGAAGATGAGCAGGGGTTAGCTGGGGGAAGAAATCTGGCAGAGGAGGGAGGAAAGGGTCGCAGACAGAGGGGACAATGTGGGCATCTTCCTGGGCAGGTTGGAGCCCGCAGGTGCGGGAGGATTGAAGGAGGCCCACTGTCGGGGGTCTGTTCACCCGCTGGCGTTCCTCACAATGTGGTGCCCCTATTGTGAGGAACATCGGCAGGTTAACAGACCCCCAACAGTGATACCCAACATGGGGCGATCCCGACAGCAGCCCACCTCAGGGGCACGGTGGTGGGAGGTGACCGTGGCACGAGGTGTGGCTGGAGAGTGTCTGGAGCCCAGTGATGCTGTGCCCTGGGAGTCAGCTTAAGGGCCTCAACCTTCACCCTGAGAACAGCGGGGTGCCACCTGTTAGGACCCGTGCTGCATCCCTGGCTCTGCCACCCCAGCCTCGTGACCACCAGCAACTCACTCCATCTACTTGTGCCTCAGTCTCCTCATCGGAAAAGTGGAGTCAGAATTAAGAGACCAACCATCCTGGTTTGCCCAGAGTGGAAGGGGTTCCCAGGATGCGAGGGTTTCAGAGCTAACGCTGGAGATGTCCTGGGGCGAGCTGGTCACTCTAGATGTTGTGGCGTGTACACCTCTTAGAGTGGTGAGAAGGACTAAAAGAATCAGTGCACATGAATACTTGGAAATTCATGGGCTCATTTAAGGTGCCGAATGAGTCCACTCTTAGTGGCTACCTTGCCTCTGATGCTCTGCCTCCTTCCAGGCCTCAGTTTCCCCAGCTGTTTAGTGAATCAGATGATTTCCAGCCCTGTGAGTCTGTGACTCCCGCCACATCCACCTCAGCTCCATCCACCACCTCATCCATCTGACAGTGGCTACGTTAGATTGGTACTTGGTTTCATGGCAGGCACTTCACATGTGAAATAAGAACATTTTGCTTTTTATAAAGTCCAGCTGTTAGCTGGGCGCAGTGGCTCACGCCTGTAGTCCCAGCACTTTGGGAGGCTAAGGGGGGCAGATCATGGGGTCAGGAGTTTGAGACCAGCCTGACCAACATGGTGAAACCCTGTCTCTACTAAAAATACAAAAATTAGCTGTGCGTGGTGGCGCCTGCCTGTAATCCCAGCTACTTGGCAGGCGATGTGGGCGGGACAGAAGGCAGGAGGAGAAGAAAAGGAGAGGTGAGGAGAGGTGAGCAGAGCTGGTAAGGCGGGGAAGTTGCGTGCTCTAGGCTGGGGTATTCCTGACACTCTCACCTTCATCAAAACTCAGTAGTAATTCTAGGTTTCTGTAAGATTTTTCCCACCACACGTTTCTGGGGGGAACCCATGGAGGAGAGTCCTACTTCCCGGTTGATGGGCAAACAGAGAAAGTGCGTGGTTGTGTAGCCACCCAAGATGGACAGAACTCAGAAACTCCTTGGGTGCCACATGGTGAGAGTTTTTCTCCTTCCAGTTCTCTTCCAACCAGAGGGAAATTCTCAAAATGGTGCCAACTCATCTTTAACTCTTTAAAGCTTGCTAGTCTTCCTTTCTACCAAAGAGCAAGAACAACCTTCACGCAATGAGCCTTGGAAGAAAACAGCCTCGAGTTACAGTTTAATGATGTTTTGTTTTCATGTTTATCTTCACAATTGTCTCCTTACGACAAGCAGTCATGCTGGCTGACCTCAAGCAGCGTAGAGTGCTTTTCAAGTTTATTAAGGAAAAGGCTGCATGTCCATTTAAAGAATGATAGACGTGGGGGTTCTGGTAGTGCATAGATGCAGCAAGAAATCTTGATGAGGTTCAGTCTATCTGTGAGAAAAATACTGGGGGGGCAACTTTTTTTTTTAGCCAACACATTGTCCAAAGTAAAAAGCGAGATAATATCCCATGTTGCTGAAGGTGTGGGGAAACAGGTGTCTCCGCAGGCTGAATATGAGGGGGCAAATGTGTTCAACACCTGTCCACATTTAAAAGGCAGATACCCTTTGACCCAGCCACTTCCCTTTTAGGAACTTAACAGCTACGAATTTGCAAAACTAAAAAAGCCATGACTGTATAAGGATTTCCATCATACTGCTGTTTGTAATAACATCAAAACAAAATAAAACTGAAATCAAAATACATTAGGAATCCCAGTCAACAGTCAACAGGGTGGAAGGAAACTAAAAACTAGAATCATATATTAGGAAAAAAACTAAATGTACAAGAACCAGAGGCTCATTAAATTATGGGAGTCGGCCGGGCGCAGTGGCTCACGCCTGTAATCCAAGCACTTTGGAGGCCAAGGCGGGCGGATCACCTGAGGTCAGGAGTTCAAGACCAGCCTGACCAACATGGTGAAACCCCATCTTTTATAAATTAAAAAAAAAAAATTATGGAAGTCTACATGAAGCATTTTTCAGGTATCTGAAAGAGGTAAAGTTATATTGCTAAAACACATAATACTTTTAGCTTGAAGAGTTAAAGGCTGTACATATATGTGTATGTGACTGTTTCTTGGGAGATTACACGTGAAACTAGACATGGTGCCTGCTTCTAGAGAGCAGAGCCAGGAATGTGGTGAAGAGAATGATTTTGACTTCATTTTATGTTCCCTCGACATTTTCCCACATGCATATGCTATTCATAAAACTTTAAAACGCCACAGCGTAGTAATTACTAGGCAAAATTCTAGCTGTAACCTTATATAGTAATAAATATTTTTATTACATCAAAGCTCCAACAAAACATGCAATTGGATAATGCCTGAAATGTTCTATAGACTCTTCATAAAAGCATAAATGACTCAATAAGTCTGCATTATCTTGCAGACAAGAGAAAAGAAAGACAAGGTTCAAAGGACGTAATCCCAGCACTTACCATCTGGTGACAGTCTGCTCATCAGACCTGAGGAGGAAGACATAACAAATGATGTGCAAATGCAACAGAAGGAAATATTTCTGATGAATAGATTCCCCCCAGTTCAACAGCTTTAACAAACTCCTCTTCAGGAAGTGTGGCTATCATGCCTCACTCATGCCTCATTATTCCCACTTAATCCCTGTTCCTGCCTCCATGAATCACAGTAAGGCCAGGCACAGTGGCTCAGGCCTGTAATCCCAGCACTTTGCAGGGCTGAGGCAGGTGGGTTGCCGAGGTCAGGAATTGAAGACCAGCCTGCCCAACATGACAAAACCCCGTCTCTACTAAAAATACAAAAATTAGCTGGGCATGGTGGTGGGCGCCTGTAATCCCAGCTACTGGGAAGCTGAGGTAGCAGAATCTCTTGAACCCGGGAAGCAGAGTCTGCAGTGACCCTAGATCGCGCCACTGCACTCCATCCCAGCCTGAGCAACAGAGTGAAACGCCCTCTCGGAAAAAAAAAAAAAAAAAAAAAAAAAATCATAGCAAGCATCGCTTGTGTTTACTTGTGTCTGTTTCCCACCAGACTCTGAGTTTATACAGAATGAGCATATCAGATCCACCTCTGGGCTCCCATGCCCAAGCGTGAGTCCAGGTACATACTAGATACTCAGAAATCCTTGCTCAAAATTTCCCACCAAAGTACAGAGTCCAGGGGCATTGCGAAGTGGCAAGGTATTTACCTACGATCCCTGATGGCAGCCCATCCAGGAGAGTCAGCGTGGCAGCCAGTGTTACATGCGTGGTGCAGAACGTTGTGCCCAAGAGGTCGCAGAGGGGAAGCCATAATCAGAAAACCAAAAAACAAGGTCAGATGCCGGGGGCTGGGAAGTAGAATCCACGACGGGTCGTGCATGGTGAGCAGTCGGGGACTGGGACTCAGAACGCTATGAGATGATTGAGGACCCCTGTGCATTTGGTGCAGGGAAGAGCTTCCAAAGTAGGAAAACAGACTGGGACAACAATCATGAACCGTTCTTCATTCATGCAAGGAACAGAACAGATGAGCCTCGATTGCCTCTACAAAGAGGAGCCAAGCTCTGTCCTTGTATTTACCCCACACCAACCCTCTGAGCTCAGATATCGTCTCTGTGTTGCTGATGAGGACAGGTGAACCTCCAAGGAGTTGTGTGATTTGCAAACACCTGTGCAGCCGGTGAGTGAAAAAGCAGGAACTCAAACTCAGATCTGACTTCTATAAAAATCCATTTCCTCATCTACAAAACGGGAATGTTAACTGGGGCAAGGCGTCCTACGTATTGAAGAATCCCACGGAGTTTGCTAGTGGAAAGTGCTGTATTTATGTAGCTCGCAACACCATTCTCCGTATCCGTTAAATTCAGCTGGTAGATAATGCCTAATGTTGGGAATATGGATGTGGGCATTGAATGGTTGATATCCAGGTGATGCATTTTACTAAGTGGGTGGCCTTGGGATGATCAGTGAATTCTCTGTACTCCGCAAAATGGAGATGTCATTTCCTGTTTGGAGCTATGTCAATAAAGGAAGAGAATGCAGTTTGAGTACTTAGCATAGCTCCTGGCTCAAGGTCAGTTAGTAAAGTTAGAAGTAGTACTATGAGATAGGTAATAACAACAATGAGGACAATAATACTGCAGTCGTACGTAAGGGTGTGCCCGTGTGTGCATAGTGGGGCAGCGACGTGGACTCAGAAGGAGGTAGTGATGAGAATAATCATATTGCAGTCATACGTAAGGGCGTGCCCATGTGTGTGTAGTAGGGCAGTGATGTGGACTCAGAAGGAGGTATGATGAGGATAATAGGATTGCAGTCGTACGTAAGGGTGTGCCCGTGGGTGTGTAGTGTGGTAGTGATGTGGACTCAGAAGGAGGTAGTGAAGCCTGAGCTGAAAATGTTTTGCGACTGTAACTTCATTTAACTTTGCAAACCAGGCACAGAGAGGTGAAGTGACTTCTCTAAGGTGGCCCCACCTGGGAAGGAGAAGTATGCTCTGAAAGCAAAGTGTATAATGTGGACCCTGCTGCCTTACTGCCAGCCATTATCTCACTTTCTGACCCAGCCTCCTGCCTCCTAATCTTGTAAACTGAGTGAAAAGCCATGGTTTCATTCCACCTAACTGGTTCCAGATGGCTATCTCTAGGAATTATTAAATAGCCAGAGATGATGGTGGCTTTTAGTTCCTGACCTCAGAAAGCAAAGATGTAAGTCAGTGTGTCTAACCAAACTTTATTATAGATGTCAGGTAGACCTGAATTTAGCTCGCAGACCTGACAGCTTTCCTTGAGCCATGCGCGGACCTTCCTGAAGTTGGGACCATGAAAGAGTGCTCAATTTCTGGGCACTCTAATGGCGTTTGGGGAGGTGGGGGCAAGTGGTAAAAAGTTCGTTGTTGCTGCTGTTCATCAAAGGAGAATTCCAGCACTTGGTTTTACTAGTTCCTCTATTAGAAGCTAAGCAGTGAACAGACCAGAGAAGAAACAAAAGTTGAAGTTCAGCAGCAATGATCCCTTTGGGACAAAGGAAATTGAACCCAAAGGGCAAGAGATGGAATGAGAGTCTTACCTTTGAGCACTGTTGGCAGGCAAGCAGCAGGAAGGGCAGGACCAGTGGTAACCAGAGAGAGCCACGTTGCCAGTAAAGGTTCAGAGAGAATATGAAACGGATTAAGTCATCCTTGGGACCTGATTGTACCCCATAGGTCCTGAGATGGGTTAGGGAACTAGAATGGGGAGCTGCAATCCATTCTAAGTGGATCGGACCCCTTTGGAGGCACATTTGCCCTGAAGTCAGAAGTTTCAGGGGTACCAGTAGCCTGGGGAATCCAAACCCTCCTTTCTCCACCTGAATTTCTAGCATAAGGAGGGTCTCCATAATAACCAAGTGTCATCTCCACTTCTCAACTGGAGACCCGCATGTTAATTCTGGGAAAGGAAGAAGTCTTACCCACCCTGTACCGTATTTTTCTCATCTAAAACCCACCAACAAATACATACAATCTAATGCAAGTGTGCATTCTAGAGCAAAGGTTCCTAGATTGTGTTAGGTCATTGGTCCTTCCGAAAATCTGATCAAAGCTGTATTCTGACAACAACACACAGGTTCTCTTTCTCTCTGACGGCACACCCAGTTTTAGACCTGATGACAAAGGCTTCTTGGCCTCCTGGAAGTCCTTCCAGTTGCACCCTCCTACCCACTGCAACCTGCAGATTCTGGATGAAGAGCCCATGTTTGCACTGAGGGCATCTGTATCTGCCCAGTCTGAATGTGGTAGTGGTTGTGCCTCTCCCTTTCATTTCCTTATTTCCCTAGGTTGAAGGGCTCCCCATTTGTGTAGGGAGAAGGAGACGTGACTTACAGTTGACTGGAAAGGGCAGCAGAGCCAGGAGCCAGCGAGTCAACATGGAAAATGCAAGGAAGAGAGTAGCGTTAATACTAATATCATCCATCCCTGTTAACTTTCACATGCATTTCTTTATTCCTTCATGGAGTATTTATTTGCCCAGTTGTTATACGAAGGGGAACCTTTCTATGGGACCCGATTTTTATGTAGTTTGTCATATAGATTTGACAAAGATCAATACAGCGATAGCATTGTAGTGGCATGAGTGTTGGAAACCCTTTAAGTTTGCAGTTTCAGAAGTTAATCTTACAAGTGAAAATGGATCATTATAAAGGTCTTCATCCCTGTCATCTTCACACTGAGTAGGCTGCGCAGAAGCAGGAAGGGCAGGGGTTGGTCAAGGGTCAACTGTGTGTGTGCGTGTATACACATACATGTATACACCTGTATCTACGTAGAGATACGTGTGTATGTGTATACAGGCACACACACAGTTGACCCTTGACCAACACAGGTTTGAACTGCATGGTTACGCTTATGCTTATCCACTTACATGTGAATTTTCTTCTGCCTCTGCCACCCCTGAGACAGAGAGACCAACCCCTGCCCTTTATAATGATCCACTTCCACTTAATGAGTAGTAAATATATTTTCTCTTTCTTAATAACATTTTCTTTTCTCTAGCTTACTTTATTGTAAGAATCAGCATGTAATATTTGTAACATACAAAATATGTGTTAATCTACTGTTGATGTAATTGGCAAATCTTCTGGTCAACAGTAGGCTGTTGGTAGTTAAGTTTTGGGGAAGTCAAAAGTTTTACGTGAATTTTCAACTGCGCTGGAGATTGGTGCCCCTCACTCTCACACTGATCAAGGGTCAAATGTGTATGTGTTATGGTTTGAGCGTGTCCCCCAAATAGCATGTGCTGAACACTTAATCCCAAATGCAACAGTGTTGGGAGGTGTGGCCTAATGGGAGGTATTTACATCACGAGGGCTCAACTTTCAGGGATAGATTAATGCCGATTATAGAGGGGCTTGAAGCTTTGAGCTCGCTTGTGAGCTTGGTCTCTCTGTCCTTCCATCACAGGATGGCACAGAAGGCTCTTACAAGGTGCCAACCCCTCAGTCTTGGATTTCCCAGCCTCCAGAACATGAGCCAGTAAATTTCTATTCATTATAAATTATCCAATCTCAGGTTGTTATGGCAGCCCCAAACAGACTAAGACAGTAGTTATATATAGATGATAAATATATATCTACATAGAGATACAATTCTCTATGTAGAATTATCATAGATAATTATATATCTATATAGATAATTCTCTATGTAGAATTATCATATATGATCCTACAAATATATAGATCTACATTGATATATATCTCATATATCTAATTTAATGTAAGCTGAATTTTTCTTCGAAGCATTGTTTAAAAGAGCAAACGGCCGGAAACAACATGAGTGGCCGTTAGTATGTGACTGGACAAATAAGTTACGGACTTCCATACAATAAATATTACGCAGCCAAAAATATATAAATAGGATTTGAGGATGCTCCTTATGAACTGACATAGAGTCATCTTCAGGCAGTATTATTAGGAGAGAAAAGTAAGGTGTGTACAGAACAGTGTGTGTAATATGCTGTCTTGTTTGTAAAAATAGAAACAAGAAGAATTTGAACATGTTAATACATATTTGTTTCTACTTGCATAAAATATCTCTGGAAGGATCTGGAAGAAATAGTTAATATCAGATTCTTTTAGGGAAGGGAAATGAGTGAATAGGTTGGGAAGGAATTTTTCTCCAGTATAACCTTCAGAACTTCTTGAATTCTGAACCCTGGAAATCTTATTTTAAATGAAAATAACATGATGTTTTATATCAAATATTTAATTAGTAATTTAAATGTAATTAATGTTTATTTTAATTAATTTAAATATTAATAAAATGATTTAACATAAAACATTTAAATTAAAACAGCATAATATTTTAAATTGAAACAAAAACAAAGTGTGGATCATGAGATGTTTGCATTTGTCTGGGTTTAGAAAGTTCAGCTTTCGAAGACAGGAAGGAACTCATACAGGGTAGCTTTTTAGGTGTAAAAAACCCAAAGTCTGATCTGCAGGCATTTTAGCTCACCAGGTCTTGTGTGGGGATTACATATTTTTTAAGTTTCCAAAGTGATTCTCATGATGATGGTTCTGTGAGGATTCAGAGCTTTGGAAACCTCAGACCCAATATGGGACACTTACTACTTTGAAAATTCAATCGCATGACATATTTTAAATTCTCAGTGCATGCTAGATGCTTAATTAATTCATGTTGGTTCCTTTTATCTTCTTTCGATCGATCGGAAATAATAACACTAACTTATGTTTTCCCAGTGCTTTCCATTTTGCAGACCTCTTTGCATTTATTTAGTCCTGCTGAGCGCTAGGAATTTTGCTAGGCTGTAGAAATAAACAGAGGAGTAAAATACAGTCCCTGCCCTTTCGGAACTTAGGGTCCTGCAGTCTCGTCAGGGTGGAAAAAAAGAGATCTTTTTCCCTTCCATATGACTTGGAGCAGAAATTGTCAGAGTATCATCCAGAGACCACTTGGTAGGGGTGCGGGATGGTCCCCGAGACCCTTTCTGGGGATGTGATGGTTGATCTGGGGTGTCAACTTGACTAAGAGGTACCCACAGAGCTGGTAAGACATTTTTTTTTTCTTGGCTGCTATAACAAAATATACGTATTTATTCTCAGTGCTTCAGTAGGCACAGAGTCCATCCACCTGCTGAAAGGGAAGCCCTAGTGGTCTGGCAGTTGATGAGAGTGACTGGGCTGCCCCAGCTGTGTCTGTGAAGGTGTTTCTGGATGACGTTGGTGTGCGAGTTGCAAGACTGGGTGGGGAAGATCCACCCTCCTGGTGGGTGAGCACCATCCAATTGAATGGAGGCCCAGATGAAGCAAAGAGGTGGAGTAAGAGTCAATTCTTTCTCCCTTCTACAGCTGGGACGCCCTTCTCCTGGCCTTGGACGTCAGAACTTCAGGCGTTCCAGCTTTTGGGATTCTAGGACTTGAGCAAGCAGGCCCCCTGAGCTCCCAGGCCATTGGCCTCAGAATGAGAGACCATCCATCAGCTACCTTGGTTATGAGGCCTACAGGCTTGGACTGAGCCACCCTGCCGGCTCTCCTGGTTCTCCAGCTTGCAGACCCCACAACTGCATGTGCTAATTCCCCTAACAGATCCATCCTCAGATATCAACATCTATATCTGTATGTATCTCTCCATTCATGATTCTGTTTCTGGAGAACTCTGCCTGAAACAGGGGTCTGCATGATCTTCCCTCTTCCAGCTCCTCATCTGCATGAGATTAGGTTTTCATTTGCTTCAACCAAAATAGCATATTGTGGCAGGGTGGGGCAGCTCACCCTTGTAATCCCAGCACTTTGGGAGGCTGAGGCGGACAGATCACTTAGGTCAGGAGTTCAAGACCAGCCTGGCCAACATGGTGAAACCTTGTCTCTCCTAAATATACAAAAATTAGCCAGGCATGATGGCATGCACCTGTAATCCAGCTACGTGGGAGGCTGAGGCAAGATAATTGAACACAGGAGGCAGATGTTGCGGTGAGCCAAGACTGTGCCACTGCGCTTCAGCCTTGGTGACAGAGCAAGACTCTGTCTCCAAAATAAACAAATACATACAATATTTTTAAACATAGCACATGGTGACAGACTGAAGCAGAAATGAGAATTCAGCTGTTTTCTATTAAGCTAGACATGAAAGAGATTTGCAAAAATGTAAAATAATACCTTTCTTCTCAGTAAACTTTTTCAGTTTGGAAACAAATGGCCATTTCACTAAAACATTTTATTTATGTCAATATGTGTATTTATTATCTTTATTTTAAAAATATTTTTAATTTCCTGGCCAGGCACAGTGGTTCACACCTGTAATCCCAGCACTTTGGGAGGCTGAGGCAGGCAGATCATCTGAAGTCAAGAGATGGAGACCATCCTGGCCAACACGGTGAAATCCTGTCTCTACTAAAAATACAAAAATGAGCTGGGTGTGGTGATGCGTGCCTGTAATACCAGCTTCTCAGGAGGCTGAGGCAGGAGAATCACTTGAACCTGGGAGGTGGCAGTTGCTATGAGCTGAGATTGCACCTCAGCACTTCAGCCTGGGCGAAATGAGACTTTGTGTCAAAAAAAATTTAATTTCGATAGCTTTAGGGGTACACGTGTTTTTGGTGAGTGGATGAGTTGTGTAGCGGTGAAGTCTCGGATTGTAGTGCACCATCACCTGTGGTAGGTACATTGTATCCAATAGGTAGTTTTCATCCCACTTCTCCCTGCCACCCTCCTTCCTTCTGAGTCTCTATTATCCTTATTTTTTAATGAAGTAATAGGTATTTTAATAAGAGCTTTACTGACATATAATTCACGTACCATGCAGTTCACCCTTTTCAGTGGTTTGTAGCATACTGAGACTTGTGCATCCATCACTACACCAAATTTAGAGCTTTTAATCACCCCAAAATAAACCCTGCACCCCTTAGTCATTGTCCCTAAATTCCCCCACCCCTCAACCCCTGGAAATCACTAACAGACATTGTGTCTCTGTGGATTCTGCCTATCTTGAATGTTTCATATACAGTAAACGGAATCAGGTAATATGTGATCGTTTATCACTGGCATCTTTCACTTAAAATAATGTTTTCAGGGCTCCCACATGTTGTTGAATGCATCGGAACTTTGTTTCTTTTTATGGATGAATACATTGTATGCATGCACTGTAATTTTGTTCATCCATGCATTAATTGAGGCACACCAGGATTATTCCCACGTTCTAGCTCTTAGGAATAGTGCTGCAGTGAACATCTGTGCACAGGTTTTTGTGCGGACTTACATTTCATTTATCTTGGGCACATACCTAGAGTGGAATTTCTGAGTAACTCAGTGTTTAACATTTGTGCACAGGTTTTTGTGCGGACTTACGTTTCATTTATCTTGGACACATACCTAGAGTGGAATTGCTGAGTAACTCAGTGTTTAACATTTTGAGGAACTGCCAGACTGTTTTCCAAAGCAGCTGTATCATTCCACATTCCCACCCGCGGCATATGAGGGTTCTAATTTCTCCGCCCTAGTAAGTGTGACGTGGTACCTCACTGTGGCTTCGGCTTCCGTTTTCCTGATGGCTTCTGATGTGGAGCATCTTTTTATGTGCTTATTGGCCATTTGTATATGTAAATATTTTTAAGTTAAAAATCTTGAATTTATAATAAGGTAAATATCAATAAAGAAAACCCTCACTGGAAAAAAAAAAAAGAGCTCTTTGGATCCTTAATAAGTTTTTAGCCTGTTCAGAGGCCCTAAGACCATAAAGTTTGCAAACCACCAGCTTGTTAAATATAAGTCAAGATATTATTCTAATGGAGATCTGCATGACACTTCTCTTCCGTGATGAGTGCTCTTCATTTTCCTAGTGAGCCTCTCTCCCCGAGACCAAAGAACGAAGGAGGGCTGCCCTTTTAGTTGTAAGACAGCAATAGAAAGGTGGTTTGCTTTCCTGAGTCATGCCCAGACCCCATGGGAAGTCCATGTCCCGGATCCAAGTCCCACCCTTCCCCAGAATTTCCAGAGAGATTGCAAGATCCAAAACAATTTTAGGGGAGATAGCTATGAAAATACAGACTTGGGGGGTTCCACATTTCTTACTTTTTTCTTTAGTTGCAACTGGAGACGAAAGCATTCAACCAGCCGGTTCACAACAGGATCAGGGAGCAGGGAGCAGAGAGAGAAGTCAGCATTAGACTCAGATCACTGCAGGAACCAAGGAGGCCAGAGACAGATGTGTCCCTTGGAGACCAGCTGACCCGCCCACTGCTATCAATAAGGCTACTCAGGCCCATCTGTCAGCCAGTCCATCCATCTATACATCCATTCAATCATCCTGCATCCAACCAACATTCACATGGTCCACACTCTCAACATTGGCCTATGTTTGGTGCTGGAGACTCAGATAAATCGGATTCAGCCCCTGCTGTGTAGGTGTTTGCAAGGCTGACTGGAAAGAGTTCTGGTATAAAAATACACTAGCCCGGGCACGGTGTCTCACGCCTGTAATCCCAGCACTTTGGGAGGACGAGGCGGGTCAAGAGATCGAGACCATCCTGGCTAACATGGTGAAACCCTGTCTCTACTAAAAATACAAAAAAAAATAGCCGAGTACAGTGGCGCACACCTGTAGTCCCAGCTACTCGGGAGGCTGAGGCAGGAGAATTGCTTGAACCCAGGAGGCGGAGGTTGCGGTGAGCCGAGGTTGCGCCGAGCCGAGGTTGCGCCATTGCACTCCAGCCTGGCTCCGGGTGATGGAGTGAGACTGTGTCTCAAAAAAAAAAAAAAAAAAAAAAAAAAAAAAAAAAAAGAGTACACTAGACATCCCAAACTGTGTTCTCATGGAACTTGCTGTCTATGGATGTCCCAAACAAGCTTACTCTGTTCGAAACAGCATCTGTAGTCATCACACTCCTGTCTATCAAAAAATCATCTGTTAATACAATACATTTTATTCTTATTTATTTGTTTTTTGTAAAGATGAGTGTCACTATGTTGCCCAGGCTGGTCTCAACCTCCTGGCCTCAAGTGATCCTCCTGCCTTGGTCTCCCAAAGTACTGGAATTAAAGGCTTGAGCCACTGCTCCCAGCCAACAAATATCCCTGAGTTTACACTGATAAAAACAAATACAATACTTGAATAAATAAATGGGGAAGAAAAGACAGCTTTTCCTTACAGAGAAATTCCATCCAATCTATGTAGAAGGAACAAGGGGTATAGAAAGTCACCATTCGAAAAACACTGTAGCAATCATTTCTGCGAGTGAGATCCACAGATGTATGCCAAAGTTAGTGGGCAAACGCTGAGGAGAAACAGCCTATTTGCATAACCTCGAAATTTCTCCCCCAGCACATTTAGTAACTACAAAGGGGAAAATAATAACAACAGTGGAGAAGCCTGGGCAGTCACCACCTTAGCTAAGTGACTAAAGTTAACACCACCGTGGGTAATAAGACACATCAACATCATGCGATCCCTGATATAATTCCCTGAAAGGATATGACACCCCTTCTGCAGTATTCCCGCCCCAAATGCATGGTCACAGTCCCATCATGAGAAAGCCTCAGACAAACCCAAATTGACAGACATTCTGCAAAACAACGGGTCAGAGCTCTTCAAATGTTCCGAGGTCATGAAAGACAAAGAAAGATTGAGGAGGTTCAACCACACGTTCTAAGGACACATCCCCAGACCAAAGGAGATGGGATAACAAAATGCCCCATGGTTGAGCAAGAGCTGGATTTCATGCAAAAAAAAAAAAATTATTTGAAAATACGAGGTGGGATTCTGGATTGGATCCTCAAATAGAATAGTGTTTCTATTAGTAGAAAAATTAGTAAAATTTGCATAGGTCTGTAATTTCTTTGTTTTGTTCTGGTGTTAGGTCTCGGTTTTGATCATTGTGCTTTGGTTAGGTTAGATGTTAACAGCTCGGATAGCTGGGTGAAGACTATTCAGAAAGTCAATTTTTGTGACTTTTCTATAAGTCTAAAGTGATTTCAAAATAAAAAAAAAATTTTTAATGTGTTGCTCTACAGTTTTACTTTCTTTTGAGTCTTGCTCTGTCGCCCAGGCTGGAGTGGATTGGTGTGATCTTGGCTCACTGCAACCTCCACCTCCTGAGTTCAAGTGATTCTCCTGCCTCAGCCTCCCTGAGCAGCTGAGACTATAGGCACCCACCACCATGCCCGGCTAACTTTTTGTATTTTTAGTGGAGACAAGGTTTTGCCATGTTAGCCAGGCTGGTCTCGAACTCCTGACCTCAGGTGATCTGTCTGCCTCGGCCTTCCAAAGTGCTGGGATTACAGGCGTGAGCCACTGCACGTGGCCTCTACAGAGTTTTCTTATCTCAGTTAAGGGCAGCCTCAATTACCCAACTGCAAATACATTTATGTATAGAGAGAGCCTTTCTGCACGCTTCTCTTTCTCTAACTGCCAGCATCTGACCCATCATCACTGAATCCTGTAAGCTCTTTCCTCAATGTCACATAACCTTCCACTCATCCCCATCTTCACCCTGATGACCGAAACATTCTCTAACTTGTGTGTTTGTCCCTGCTCTGATTGCTACCAAATCCATTCTTTCCTGAGGGGCAAGACAGATTATTTAAACACACACACACGCACGCACACACACACACACACACACACACACACGCAAACACTCTTAAATATGACAGTCCTTTGCTGAAAACCTTTTCACAGCTTCCTTTTCCCTTCAGATAACACCCCAAATCATTCATGTGACCCACATGCCCCTGTCTATTCTGTTTCCTGCCTCCTCTCTCTTACTTGTAACAATCCTGCCGCCATGCCCCTCCCTCTCTCTGCCATGTTCCTGACACACCATCTTCTCTCTGATGAAAGGACTCAGTGCCTTCTGCCCCAGGACCTTTGCATATGCAAGTCTCCCTGCCTGGAATAGTCTCTCCTAACTCTTCAGCTGGCCAGCTCCTATTCCTCACCTCAGATGTAGCTTTTCTAGAGAAGCCTTTTCTGAATCCCCACACTAGAATGTAAGTTTGTTTAGGGTGGGAGGTTTGTCTTTCCACGAAGACAGGAGTATTTCTGTCTTTCTCATCACTATTCCCAGCATCAAGCTCGTGGAAAGAACCAGGAGTAAACATTTGTGGATCAAACGAGGAACGAGGAGCTCAGTGTTGTGACAAGACTCAAGTCCTCTTCCGGTATACTCCTTTACATTGCAAAGGTCTGGAGTCTCACTAGAACTGTCTAACCACAGTGAGGTTAACTTCCAGACACTGCACAACACTGAGCTCATCAGTGACGTGCAACAGTCCTGTGGACTGGGGGTTCTTGCGGGCCCCATTGGTCAGATGAGGGCAGCAAGGCTTGCAGAAGCAATGTCCCTCCAATGTCACAAAGAATGGGTGAATAAAAACCAGGATGCAGACATAAGTCTATCTCCAAGGACAGGGGCTAGCAACCCAGACTCATTCACTCCACCACGTCCATCAGGAGAAATGTGAATGTCTAAATACAGAAGCAAGAAGAAGTCTGTTAGACTTCAGGAGATTCTGTCTGAATCCAGCCCATGAGAGCCTCCCCAGTTGTAGGAAAATACACAGGAGAGACAAGGCGTGGCCGAAAGCATTACCTTCACGAGGAATACAGGCTTCTGCCAATCCCAGGAAAAGCAGAATCAGCAGCGACATTTTTAGAAATGGCTCTGATCTGCGCATAGTGGGGCTGGAATTTGGGCTGAATGTTCTCCTCTCAGGATAGACAGGACTCTCTACTCACCCACTGTCTTCCCAGACTCCAGGGATAAAATGAACTGCCCACGCCTGCCTGGAGGCTGGCAGGTCTCCAGACCTGTGCCCACGCCACCAGCTGCTGACCAAAGAACCATATCTGCTTTTTCATCTTAAAGCAATGTTTTACAAGCAGTTTCATGTGGAGCGTGAATGCTTCTCATCCTGTGATCTGCAGGCCAAATCTTGTCCTCCTCCTGTTTCTATAGGGCCTGTGAGCTAAAAGCAATTGTTATATATTTTTTGCTATCTTTTTTTCAGGAGACTTTCAAAGCTACTGCAAATCAATTGTTCTATTTTTTAATGGTTGGAGGGGAAAGACAAAAGGAAACATTTCATGACACGAAAATCATAGAGAATGTGAATTTCAGTGTCCGTGAATAAAGTGTGATTGGAACACAACCATGCCACTTCCCTATGTATTGTCTACAGCTGCCTTCAGCCTACGAGGCTGAGCTTTGTGGTTGTGACAGAGACCATCTGGGCTGAAAAGCCTAAAGTATTTACTGTCTGGCCCTTTATAGAAAAAGTTAGTGGACCTTTGTCCTAGACATATTATAAATTTCAGAAAAACAACACGCAAACAACAGCTAATAGTATTTCTCCCCAGAGGTAAGTATTATTTTTACGTTTTTCTGTATATTCCTTCCCAAAGATGTCTGTATTTCTCCTTATCTCTAGCACTTACTGGCTGTGCACCCTGAGCATATTATTTAACCAGTGTGTGCCTCAGTTTCTTCATCTATGAAATCGGGATAATGGTATTTCCAATTTCATAGGGTTGTTGGAAAAATTGATTTCAGATATTTGTATCTGTAAAGCACATTGAACAAAATGCATATTATCTCTGTGTGCATATCTATATTAAGAATACAGGCCAGGTACAGGTGCTCATGCCTATAATCTCAGTGCTTTGAGGGGTGCTGAGGCAGGAGGATTGCTTAAGCCCAGAAGTTCAAGGCTGCAGTGAGCTATGATTGCAACACTGCACCCCCGCCCAGGTGACAGAGCGAGACTCTGTCTCAAATAAAAACAAACGAACAAGAACAGCCAGGAGTGATGTCTTATCCTTGTAATCCCAAAGCAAGAAAATCACTTGAGGCCAAGAGTTTGAGACCAGCCCAGGCAATATAGTGAGACCCTATCTCTACAAGAAATTAAACATTAGCTGGGCATGATGGCATGTACCTCTTGTCACAGCTAATCGGGAGGCTGAGGTGGGAGGATTGCTTGAGACCAGTAACTGGAGGCCACAGTGAGCTATGATCACACCACTGCACTCCAGCTTGGGTGACAGAGTGAGACCCTGTCTCTGAAAGAAATTTATTTTTTTTTAATTTTTAAAAAAGAATACAATGTACACTATGCATATATCACATATATACATATGTCTAGTATATGCCTATATGTGAGACCTAATAAATGAATGCATATCTTAAGGCATGATTATTTCATGCATAAAGAATTTAGGCTGCTTTATTTTTATTTTTAATTTCTTTATTTTTCAGCAGCAGAAAAAAATAGACAAATAAAAAATAAAGACAAATGCTTTATTATTTATGCATGGTATGTGCTGAACATTTCTCCAAGGCTTCAAATGTTTGTTGACTACAAAGTTAATCAACTGTATGATCAAAGAGATCATACAGTGTGTGACAATTTTGAAACTGGCTTTTTCCACTCAGCATAATGCCATTAAGATCTGTCCAAGCAGTGTGTGTTTAAAGGCTTGTTCGTTTTTACTGATGAGTATTCCATGGCATGGATATATCACAGTTAGCTTAATCATTTACCTATTGAGGGGCATTTTGGCTGTTTCCAGATTTGGGCTATTGTAAATAGATTAGACCACTTATATTTAATATTATCATTGTTATGCACAAGTTTAAGAATACCACTTTGTATTTTATTTTCTGCTTCATTCTTCTGTTTTTCATTTCACTATTTTCTTTTTCCTGTCCTCTCGTGAAATTTTTAGAATGCTATATTTATCCATAGTGATTTTGAGTTTATCTCTATTAGGACATTTTCAGTGGTTGCTCTCAGTATTAAATTATAAATACAACTTACCATCGTTAAACTGGCTCATTTTAAAAGGTTAACTAGATCCATGTCATAGGAGGCAGAAGAAAGACCTCCCAAAGATGTCCGCATCCCAACACCCAGAACATATGAGTATGGTACCTTACATGGCAAGAAGGACTTTGCCTTGAGTCAATTAGGGATTCTGAGATGAGGATGTTATCCTCAATTATCCTGTTGGAGCCAACGGAATCATAGGAGTCCTTATAAGAAAAATAGAAACAAACACAGTCGAATCAGAGGAAGAGACAGAGAGAGAAAAATTATCCGGGCATGGTGGCAGGTGTCCATAATGCCAGCTATGCAGGGGGCTGAGGCAGGGTAATTGCTCAAACCCAGGAGGCAGAGGTTGCAGCGGCCCAAGATTGCACCACTGCACTCCAGCCTGGGTAACACAGCCAGACTTGAACTCAGGAAAAAAAAAAAAAAACGAGAGAGAGATTTGAAAATGCTACATGACTGACTTTGAAGATGGAGGAAGGAGCCGTAAGCAGAATGCAGACAGCCTCTAGAAGCTGGAAATAGCAAAGAAATGAATTATCCCCAAAAACGTCCAGAAGGAGCACAGCCCTGATGATATGTTGACTTTAGGAGACTTCTGACCACTACAGCCCTATGATAGTAAATTTGTATTGTTGTAAACCATTACGGTTGTAATAATTTTTCATAGCAGCCACAGGGAACTAATTCTTTCCACTGGTAATTCTTAGAAATTGCTTAGACAGTCAAGAGCTTTGGCTGTCAGTGGAGATAAGACCCAGTATCCTTCTGGAATAAAGGCAGAGTGTAGTGACCACTGGTCTGTCTCAGCTCTGAAGGCTTTTCTTTTTTTATTTTTACTTTTCGAGACAGAGTCTTGCTCTGTCACCCAGACTGGAGTGCAATAGTGCAATCTTGGCTCATTGCAACCTCTGCCTCCCAGGTTCAAGTGATTGTCCTGCCTCAGCCTCGCAAGGCTGGGACTACAAGTATTTTTTAGTAGAGACAGGGTTTCACCGTGTTAGCCAGGATGGTCTCCATCTCCTGACCTCATGATTGGCCCACCTCAGCCTCCAAAGTGCTGGGATTATAGATGTGAACCACCACGCCCAGCCCTGAAGGATTCTATGGTACTTCCTTCAACCCTGATAGAAACAGAGAATTGTGTGTGGTCTCCTGGAAGGAAGGAGTTCCAGGCGTGGAGGGATGTCCACTCTTGCAGGGGACTCTCCTGCTGCCATCTCTCTGGTGCTGTCTATGTTTCAATCCCGAGTATCAGCTGAACCATCTCCTGTACACTAGGGGATACCTAAGCAATCCCTCAGACTAGGCTGGAGGGGAGAGTTCTTCCTGGCCATTTGCCATATTCCAGAGCTCCCCTCCTTTGTGAGCACAAAGTCATGGGAACTCATCACTGGGAAAACATGGTACCGCAGGATTCATGATAACAGGAAGATACAAGGGCGTGCGACACGTAAAGGGCTTTTCACGTCCTGTGCTACTGCGGAAATCAACAAAAACCACCCAGTGAAAACAAGCAAAGGCTATCAATTCAGAGCTTGCTCTAACAAGGGAGTCAACCCACTACCCTTTGCGTTTGGCACAGACTCAAAGGCAGGCAGGGTAGTGGGAAAACTTACAGTGAAAGGAAGGAAAGGCTTCAAGAGCGCCTGACTGGAGGCCGTTGGCTGATCAGAGGCCACTGTGATTGGTTGGGGGAGCATATTTGGATTTTTCTGCTTGGTCCAACATTTCGATTTTCCGTCCTTCCTTAGCAAGCCTGGTTGCCCGCACAGCTGTTTCTTTGCTTCATCAAATGTAATAATAGCCCCTAACTCACAACACTAGGGTTTAAATGCCACAAATGCCTGGGAGGTGGAACAAAATTAATATTCTTTAGTATTATCCACTCTGCCAGACTGTGATTTGGGGACAGAGATGAATCAGATACTGGCCTTGCTTGTGAAGAACTCACGCTTTAGGAAAGATCAGGATTTCTCAGAACTGGCACAGCTGACATTTAGGACCAGATCACGTTTGTGGTGGGGGCTGTCTCAATGCTTTGTAGGATGTTTAGCAATACCGCTGGTCCCTAGCCACCACACAGTAGCACCCACCCCACACCAACCACCAACTCCACCATGTTTTGGGAGCCACAACTAAGAAATGATGAGCTTTTAGTGCTTTTTTTGTGGGTGTGTGAGACGGAGTCTCACTTTGTTGCCAGGCTAGGGTGCAGTGGTGCAATCTCAGTTCACTGCAGCCTCCGCCTCCTGGGTTCAAGCGATTCTTCCGCCGCAGCCTCAGCTCGTGCAACCACGCCTGGCTAATTTTTTTTGTATTTTCAGTAGAGATGGGGTTTCCCCATGTTGGCCAGGATGGTCTCGATCTCTTGACCTAGTGATCTGCCCACTTGGCCTCCCCAAGTGCTGGGATTACACACGTGAGCCACTGCTCCCGGCCCTACTTTATTTTAATTATACTTACTTAAGTTCAAGTTTATGCAATTTAGTTTTGAGTACTGGGCTATGTTTAGCGTAAGTTGAGGAAGTTTACCTCAACGTAAAAAGTTTTTAAATGTTGAAAACCAAAAACTTAATGGACCCTCATGATAAGCTGGCCCCAATACACCTGTGTAATATTATTTCGTGTGTTTTTACATTTCTTCTAAATGGTATTTTACTGACTCTTTCTTGCATAACTTGCTTTTTTTTTTTTTTTTTTTTAACTCGATGTGATGTTTGTGAGATCCACTCCTGTCTGTGTGGAGCAGGGAAGTGGTGTTAGACCTGGAGATGGCAGAAAACCTGGTGATTATAATCACAGACACGGAGGCCAATCAAATGTGGATGCCAGTCCCTGCCCCACAGCACTACGGCTGGCAGGAGTTTCTTCTTACTGCCATAACGAATTGCCATGAATTGTGTGACTTAAAACAACATGGATTTGTTAC